TCTTTATTTTCTCTTTACTTTAATAAATTTGTTGTCTATTTTTGTCTAAAAATTTTTATCCAATCAATCCAGGGGGGGGGGGGGGCAAGTGCCCCACCTTGCCCCTCCCTGCGGGCGCCCATGTATACTAGATAGTTAAGACAGTTAAGTAGGAAACTTTCCCACGATGGGGGGATGTCTGGACATATCTTAATCTATGAAATCTACGAATATGGGCATGGGGGCCACGGGTGGAGTGGTGTGAAAAACCAGCATAATAATAATAATAATGATGATCTTAAAACTGTATTATTATTGCATATAATTTAAATTATCATTTTTTACTTAAGTAAGTACCTAATTATTCCTATGTAACTACAAATAAGTCAAATAGTCAATAGTTTGGCTAAAATTTTTAATTGTGATAATTTTTTAATACCTATACAGTATACTATTTAAAATTTATAAGTATTAATAGCAATATTTGGTAGCCCAATATTTTTAAAAGGCAAAGGCATCTCATTTCTTAATTAATATTATTAAATAATAATTTTAAAATGTTACCTTATCCATGGATCTTTCAAACCAAGGGCAGAGAGTCTGTTCTGAAGGCGCTCAAGCTGGGGGATCCCATCTGCTTTGTAAATTTTCCAGTCAGGAACGCTATGAGGTGCACCACCTCCACCGCCACCCATATTTTTTTACGTTCTAATTTTTTTTGTTAAAATAACAATCACATAAATTTAGTGTGACCTCTGGAAGCAATAAACGCTCATTGAAGGGTTTACTTTGTACTGGAATGTATTATTTTTTTTTTGTTAACATAAAAAGTTTAACCTAAACATTATACTGAAAAACGTGTGGAACTAGAAGAGGCAGTAAGATTTCAAAACTGATTATGCAATTCCCAATTTTAAATAAAGACAAAGAACAATATACTCTTACACTTGTTAATTTTTGGGTGTTTCTCCATAAGCTTTAACGATTTCTGCAATATTGATTATAGGCAGCTCTATTATATGAGTATGAATAGTATGAGACTAGTGACTAGAGTAGTAGTAGTAGGCGTAGGCTGCAGTCACGGCTACTGACTACTGGCACTACAGGTAAAAAGAACTATTAATACTATTACTATTATTATTACTAATAATTACTAATTCACTTGGGTGACTTTCCTTTACTGTAAAGATTAATTTATGTGCTTATTAAATTATTAATGTTTATTTTAATTCTTGATATTAATATTAACTTCTCTTTTGCTCATGAGTTCTATGACTATGTGTTTCAGTTTCTTACTCTTACTTTCTGGGTTTGTGGCAAAATCTTCCATAGGCTAATTGACCCACGTCCCGTCAACCTATATTGCCAGAAACAACAGTACACATTCTAACAAATTTTCAGCTCCACCCCAACCCCCAAAACTAAGTTTTAAATCTACCAAATGCACTGATTTCGGCTGATGGTCATTGTGGATGCTACGACGTCTTTTCGGTGGAGTCACTTCCCTTTGTTTATTTTTAGAGAATTATTTTGTCATGTCTTAGTATTTGTATGCTGCTATACGTGTTTTGCACTACATTTTAGCCGCCATCTTGGTTGACACCTTACGTGACTTCACCTTCACGTGTGGTGTCAACCAAGATGGCGGCCATTGAGAAAATAGTGGCATCCACAATGACCATTTACCTAAAATTTTTATCAATGGTCAATTTTAATTTACTTTTTTTTAAATTTGTACACCGCTTCTTAATAAATATTCTTTGGAGTCTAGGCTAATCATATTTTTTTGAAATTTTATAAAACATATTTCAGTTAGATGTCTCAAAGTCTGTGAAATTCTTCAATGGACGTATAATTTGTTGAAGAACTAATTAAAAGAAACAGGATTGACAATGGAGGAATGTACCTTACTCTTTCGTCATCTTCCTGCAGAGCTGACTTCAGAAGAACGCAAAGATCTGCTTCATTTCTTTGGAGCTACTCGAGTGAATGTTATGGGAAAAACTGGTGCTATGGTATATATATTCTTGTTTCATTTATCGAAATGAATATATTTTATCTTTGGTGTATTTAATGTTAAGAATATTTGTATCAAATAGGTTTGAGTGGAGATTTTTTTGAGGCGGCATTTGACGGTTGATATGTTCAACTTCAGTAACCCACTTTACTTAGGAGGGGCATGTTTAGGTTGATATGTTCAGCTTCAATAAACCACCTTAGCACCTCATTGAAAGTTCAGTAAAAGCACTCACAATAGACTCTCTAGCTGTTTAATTTTTTCCTCAGAAAAACACAGCATTTGCTGTGTTTTCCAACAAAGAACAAGCTTCCATTGTAAGTTGTGCTTTTGTATTTGTCTATTTTAATTTTCATTTTTCTTCAGTCTTCATGTTTATATTTGTCAAATAATGTGAAGCTTTTTTAAGTTGCTTCAAATGTACACATTTCTGCCATGATTATCACAAAATGTATGTTTAATGCAATGAGCTGATGGCTGTCATTGAAAAGCTCTGTTTTAAATATTGTCAACAGGTGTTGAATCAGCTGCATCAAGTTGAGTTCCTTGGTTCAAAACTAGTTGTAGAGTTTGCCAAGAAGCAGCACAATCAGGCACCTTCAGTTGTTGACAATGAGGGGTGTGTATTCATACAACTTAATATCAGTGGCAAAATACTCTCCTGATTACGGTTATTTTTCGTTAGTAATTTTTATCAGAATTAAGAAAAATTTCTTTGACACATAATGGAATTAGAATCAAATCCAGATATTATATTAAGTTAAAAGAACAATTGATGGATTCATGCTTTGAGTATAGGACACTGTAAATAAATGATTTATTATCAATGATTTTAATTAAATTCAATTGTTTTATGTCTTGAAATGACAGAGAATGTAAATTATAATTTGTTCATTTGAAGTTACAATATACTTAATTAACTGAAAGCCAGAGTAGTGCAGGCGCCTTCAGATATTTTAAAAGAAAATTTGCATTCAGGAAACTTTTTAAGATTGTGATTTGACAGGTTGCATTGGAATTTTTTCTTTCAAAACGTGGGTAGAATTTCAAATTTTTGTCTTAAAAAATGACTTTTTTTTTGTTTCGTTTAAGTAAAGTTCCTCTTAATAAAAAAATATGTCGGCTTTTCCTCATTTTCATGACATACTTTAAAGCAAGATTAATTAAATGAATGTTACCATTAAAAAAAATATTTAAAGGACAAGTTGTCTTGAGTGACTGGTCCCATCTGTTATAGCTCAATATTATTTACATCATTTACAGTGTGCATTCTGTTCTAATGCCAGTAATGAAAGTGCCCCAACTCTGTGTAAAAAAAAAAACGGCACTGCATTTATACACCAAATTCTTCAAGCTTCTGCTCAGTTTCCTGAATATATTATCCTAATGTATTTCGTCTAGATCTGTGGAAAAACCTGATGAGGACGGACTTAAAAAGACTGATGTGACAAATGAGCTAGTTGAGCCACGAGAAATCAAGTTTGATACAACGTTTAACACCTGGGGGTTTGTAGATTTATTATTAACATAGCTATTTTATAACTTAAACCACGTGAAATTAATTCAAGTATGATGCAACATTTGACACATGGTGGTGGGGTGGGGGGAGGTTGTGTACATTTATTATTAACATAACTTATTTATAACTTTTTGCACATGAAACTAAAATAAAGTAAAGATCATTATTTTGTCGTTTTCCCTTCTGAATGTGCATTTTTTTCATGAATTAAATTTTTGACATAATTCAACACATTCTTTGATATATTCTTGAAGATTTGCCTATTCACTATCTTGCTTAAATATCATTGTCTCCATAATTGGAGAATTTCTGCCAATGTACTTGAATATGTTAAAAAAATACATCAATTAAAAAAAAATTATTTAGATTGCTGTTTAAGGCTTGACTGCATTTACAGGCTGAAACATCCTCGCCGGCCAGAGTTGCGATACTTGTACCCTCCTCCCACACCATCCATCCTCACAAACATAATGAATGCACTGGCTGCTGTTCCCAAGTTTTACGTGCAGGTAATCATGTTAATTTTTTTATATTTTTATAAGTACCTTAAGCTTTCGAAATTTCTAAAATGTAATCATGTTTTTATTATGATATATCATATGAAACATTCATTTTTTTACAATTTAAAATTACATTAAATTAAAGATTTTATTAACTAGTGATATAAAATATGTATTTATTTGTTTGTCAAGAGGGTAATTTTTTGGTCTCACCCTTTTCTTGGTTTTGTTAATTTCATATGCTGGCTATTTAACAACGTTATGTTAAATTTGTTTTTGCTATTTTTTTCTTGACCAGGTTTTACACTTGATGAATAAAATGGATCTACCTGCTCCATTTGGTGCTGTAACACTGACACCCCCATTGGTAAGAATTGTTATTAAAAATATTTAAAGTTGGTTTAAAGAAATAACCTTTAAAAAGAACTAGTGTTTGCATTATGCATGCGTGTAAGAAATTTTTCATTACCTTTAAATGATATGTACTAAGGCCTATGCAACCAAATCTTCTTGGCCTACTCCCATTTGATGACCCAGTGCACATCTTATCTGTGCACAACACCAGTAAAGTAAGCAGTCTCCCTGGACCTGATATTAGCATAGTCGTATTAGCAGACCTGTTTACTCTTACGATTTTGGCGTACTATGTACCATTTTGAGGTGTATACATTATATATACACTATGTTTATTTTTTTACTATTAAGATAATGTATTCAACAATTTTGTGATAATACTGTACGATTTTAAGAGTTTGAGGATAAACAGGTCTCTATTCGTATGACCACAGTTTATTATAAATATTTAAATAATTTAGAGGATTTTGCGATTTTATTAAAAAATAAATATTCATTTCATTAATTCATATTGTATTATAATGTAACAAGATTAACGGGCATTACATGGATATGGCATTTTAGGGCTTCACATTATACATAGATCCCATCATATGAGGAGGAAGGTTAAAATATAAAATTCCATCTTTGTGTACCTTTACTGAACATTCACAATCCCATGAATTTGTCCTTTTAAAATCCATTTCAATCTAAATGTATTCTCCACCCACTGTACTTTTTGAACTCAAGTTGAACTTAATGGATAGATCATTCAAGAGCCTGCAAGCCTGGACTGTTTGATGAAATTATGGAAGCATTGTAAATATTTGCCCATCTAACCATCTTCCCTCAGCGACCTGATGTTCAAGAGTATGTAGTCCCTGATGATGTTGACCAGCGAGAGATGGACATCTCAAGTGAAACGGAATCTGAGCTAGAGAGCGGAGAGGAAGGAGATGTTAAAATCAGGTCTTGGAAAATAATATCTTTGCTATGGAACAAACTTTTTAGAACTAAAGCTTATTTTGTAATATTTAACTTGTAGCTGTAGATCTCTTTTTGTATCTTCTCAGGAATTTTTCCTCCTAATAACAAAAGTAATGCCACATTTATTTCAATATATTTCTTTGCTTTAAACTCTCACAGCGTGAATTTAAACGCCATTGCTGGTCTTGGAATAAAACTTTGACTAACTACATTGAGATATTTATTGTGGTAGTGTAATGTATGTGGCAAAATTTTTAACACATGAAATATGGTATATTAAAAAAAATAATTTTAAACAGTGAATATCTTTATTTAGAACAAAGGAAACACACACTGTTAAAAGACTTCGGAGCAGTGCCAAAATGCGAGCAGTAAAACGTCCAAGGCTTTCTGACCTTCAAGATAGTGAACTTCCTCTTCTGTCATCTACACAACCATTACAAGTCAGTGATGTTTTTGAGCAGGTCTCTGGGGCAGGAGCTAAAAAGATTGAACTGAAACTCCCTGCAACACTTCTGCCACCCACTGCCCAACAAAGGCTGGCATCCCAACCGTCCAAACTTGCACAAATCTACCACCCCATTTCTAACATTGGACAAATTGAAAATACAGATATAAGACAGCAACAATTACCCCATCCTAACCTCTCGGCATCGGTAACTCTAGGAACTTCATTGTTACAACAAACTCTCCATGACAACTCTGGGCAACACTACCAAGAGCAGCCAGTGTTGGAAGCTGTGGAAGACTCCTATGATGTACCACTCCCTCCCAAGAATATTGATGGTGACTATTTTTATTTGTTGAAAACATTACATTAAAATTCTTGTTTTTGTAATTTCCTCTTTGAGAACAATCCTAAAATAAAGATTTTCTAAAAGTAAAATTTAATGTTTGAACAATTATTGGGGAACATAAATTATGGAGAAAAAAAAAAGAGAATTTAAAAAAAAAAAGTCTTCATAAAGATGAAATAATTAATGAGGATATCTGTAATAACATATTAATTCCCCATGATGTGATCTTCCCTTTTTTAATACTTTTGAATGAAGCAGTGCCAGCTACCGAGTCCACTTCTGTCACCATTGGAAGTTTTGGCATTATAGAGCCTGTGCATAAAGTGAGTAATGAAATTTTATTTAGTTTTTCATATTTTTTTTACTTTGTCACTTGCATATTACCTTAATTTATTATTTTTAAACCTGAATGCTTTTAAACCCTACATCTAATTTTTTTTTTTAAATTTACTATTGCAGAATTCAAATATAAGAACATAAATATTATATTTCTTCATTAATGGGAAAATAAAGTATAGAAAAACTCATATGATAGGGCTGATCACATTTAATTTTCACCTAAAATGAATTAACATAAAAATCATCTAAAGCAATAATGTGTCGCTGTCACCAGGGTTTATACAAAAATTGTATTAATTTGATTTAAATAGGATTTTAAAAATTTAAATTGATTTTTGTTCAACTCTTTTAAAGGGATTCCTTTTGATTTTGAAGTATGTTCATGTTTATAATTTGGTTAATAGTATTTAAATAATTATTTGGATTTTAATTGCAATTATTTTATTTTAATCAGATTTTTTAAACATTTATTTCAGATTTTTTTTCTTGAACTTGATTTTTCTAATCACATTTTTTAACCGTAAGATTTTGAACTAAATTAATTATATTCATGTTTATAAAGATTAATCATAATGAAGTTATGGTATTTAAATGAATGTTAAAAATTTAAATTGGATTATCAGGTTTTTTTAAATTTAGATTTTTGCTTCTCTTTTTTTTCATAAAGATTAAACATAATTTAGTTCATTAAAAAAAAAAAAAAGGCATTTAATTAAAAATTTAAATTGGATTATCAGGTTTTTTTTAATTTAGATTTTTGCTTCTCTTTTTTTTCATAAAAATTAAACATAATTTAATTCATTAAAAAAAAAAAAAAAAGGCATTTAAATTAGATTTTAACATACTGATTTAAATTTAAGTAAAATAATATTTTTAAAAGTAATACAAATCTTAATCAAATCCATTTAAAATTAAAAGGATTTTCATACTTTTTCCCAAAGTGAAATATCTCATGATGTACTAATAAAAATGATTATGAAATATCAAATAATTGACTAGCTATAAACTTATAGTATAGTCTCTATCCACGTGAATTAGAATTACAATTAAGTTTCCCACTTTCAAATTACTGATGTCATAATTTTGTCATTTGTCAATATCATTTGATAAAGCTATCTGATTAAATAATTTGAACAGGAAAAAAAAATAATTTTCCAGATTTCTCAACCCTAAGTCAATTTCTAATTTCTAAAATTTGAAAAGTTCAATTGAATAAGAATGAAATTTATTATTATAAAATTGTTCAATCATAATTATACATTAAGAAACAATAAATTGTGGGACTAATAGTTCATAAAACAAACAGTGAAGCATTGTTTAGCTAATGCGTTTAAACAAAAATAGATTAGATGTAATTAAAATCAAGTAAATTTTTGTCATTTAAATCATGATTTTTATTTGAAAACAGTTTAAATCTATGATTTAAATTCTTTTATTTAAATCCTCTCAAGCCTGGCTGTCACCATATCATAGTATTTGGTTTAAAAAGTAATAATTTAAACAGGGGATTGGAACATTTACTTCATGACTTACCTTGGGGAAATTTGAAGGGAAAAACCTACCATTTTATTAATGTTAGCTAAAAGAAATGGCTCAAATTAATCATTTTAGGTCTGTGATGGATGAATGAAGCTATTTGATCAGACAGTCAACCAACCATGGTCAATGTTTTCTTTTTTTTTTAAATTATATTATCAGCCAAGAGATACTGAACCTGAACTTGAGGACACTGAGAAAGAGTGGACGAAGTCCAAATTTATTTCATCATCAGAGTTGAGGAAATCTAGACTATCTCACTCAGGTATCCCCACAACCATTAAAAGCTTGATTAAGTTCCAGATTAATTTTTAGAAGCTAGTAAACTACAACCATATTTGTATAGACAGCTGTTGATTTTTTTAACCCACACTAACTTTAGTGGTTGAGTTGTTTTTTTTTACATTTTTTTTCATACTCTGGTTCACTTCCTTCCCAAGAGTAGCTGCTTAACTTTCAGTTACAGATTTTAAGTTCCACAAGTCTCCTTAGCTATAGTTTGGAAATACCCCAGGCCAATTAGAAAGTGATTCCCCCCCTCTGGTTTAGAGGCAAACAAAATTAAATTTTGCCACATAGCCAACTTTAAAATGATAAATTAATGGACTTTCTGCTTTTTATTTTCTAATGTACATAATTTTCCTAATTAACTTTTTTTTTAACGTGGGAATATTTTTCTTTTAAGAAATGAAAGAGCTGAGTGTTTTTAGAAGGTATGAAGAAGGGGAGCCATCTTGTCGACTGTATATTAAAAATGTGGCCAAACCAGCTACAGAGGAGGTAAAGAAAATTTTGTTTGTCTGAAAGGTTTTTGAAATGTGGAAACATAAGACTGCAGCCGTTACCTTTTGATTTTTTTTGTAAATAACATTGCAGTTAATTTCTATTTACATGTGTTAGCTTTATTTTGAGGCAATTATTTAAATTGGGGGTGACAATAAAATAGGTGAAAGGGAAACATTAAAAGTGGTAGCGGCTCACACCTGTGAAATAAAACATAGTTTCAATTTTACTTTCCTTTTGCTAGGACATCCACTGGATCTATGGACGCTACGTTGACTGGGACAATCAAGCAGAAACCAACATGTGAGTTTTGTGCAGGACCTTTTCAACTGGAGCGGGGCCCCCTGGGAAATGTCATGCACTGAGGCACCCCTATTCCTCTCTAACCTATTCAAGTATAAGACAGGAAAAGCATTTCATTTTGGCCCATCATGTGTTATCACCAGTGTTTCTTTCAATTGATTTCATTGGGGTACAGCGAGATTGGATGAGCGCAGGAGAGAAAATTATTTAAAGAAGATTTAATATATTTACAAATTTACAAAAGGCAGCATACATTTAATAATATGTGATTTATCTGATGGAGGGTAAAGCAGTCTAAATTTCCTAAAAATTCAATAAATTGGAAGGTCTATTTAGAATTTCAAACTACTACAACTTTTTCAGATATGTAATTAGACAAATTAATGAATTCATACCAGTGGTAAAATTATTTCATTTACTCTAAACACACACAGACACACATAAATTCCCTGAATATTTTTTTAAAATATTCTAATTTTTCTAAAACTTGCACCAAAACAATGGAATTGATTTTAAACAAAAACAAAACAAAAAACTTACTTAGGAAACAAGCTTCCCACTGCTGTCTGAAATCAAACTAAATTGCCAAAAGATCTTCTGGTAACGATACCCATTAACAATATGGGCAAATTGAGGCCTCTTAGCTGTGTGAGGCACTGGGCAACTGCTCAGTGTGCCCATGTCTTAAGACAGCACTGTTTTTTTTTGTGTGTGTCTGGGGGCGGGTATATTTTAGCTACTTATATTGTATTCATTTTTAAGCTCTTTGTGATAAATTGAACTTTGCGCGCTATACTGAATTAAATATTTCCTGTCTCTTAATGACATTTTGTTTTATTCATGTATGTAAACAAGTTAGAAAAAAAAGTTTGAAGTAATAATGCTCTAACATACCAACTAGATTAATAATTATCTACCCTGACGAATTAAAGGAATCTTGAATTTTCAATCCCAGCTCATGACAACATTTAGATGAAAACTAAAGCAAACTAACTAATTATCATCTGTAATTTAAAGACATATTTTTTCAGTGGTTTTCTTGGAATTCGATACAAGGATCTTGATGATATCACTTAAAATAATTAAGTGGGTGTTATCCTTGACAATGATAGTTCAATTACGAAACTCATAAAGGAAGGCAGGGTGTCAATTATTCCTTGCAGTGAATCCACGCCATAAATAACCGTAATTTGATTTGCCAAGTGTACACTGTAATGTTGATTATTTGACATTCTCAGCTTTGATATACAAATAGTTCAAACAAGATGTGTTAAGGTTTGAAAAAAAAAAAGACCGGACACTTAAATGGACGTTTTGATGCATTGACATTATTGAGATCCTCTAAAACTTAAGTTTTATTTTTTATTTAAAATGTACATGTTGTTTATTAGTATATATCTGCTTAAGAAGACATCTGGTCTTTTTTTCAAGCCTAAACATATCTAGGTCAACCATTTATTTACTTCACACAGATTGATTGCAGTTCCCCATATATATTATCATCTTTGATATGAAAATGTCTATTAAACAATTAACTATTCTTCTGATGTTAACTTATTAATGTGTTGCATTTCCAGCTTTGATATACGCCTAATGAAAGAGGGAAGGATGAAAGGACAAGCCTTTGTGACGCTGCCGTCAGAGAAGGTGGCAATAACGGCACTGAAAGAGACCAACGGCTTTGTCCTCAAAGACAAACCAATAGTAGTGGTATCCTTGATAATCTCTATTCACCCCCTTTCCCCCGCCCACTGTTAGTGCCACCCGATCCCGTCGCAATCTGTGTATGATGGGTTCCTTTTATCAACATCTCTTACATGTTCATACGTGGTAATCACACTGAATTGAACACAAGTCCCTTTTCCAATAGTGATGTAAACTTTAATTTAGAAACATATGTAATAGGCTGTGCAGTGAATCAAGCACTTGTATAAAACAGCTGGTAGTATTAAGTAGAAGAATATAGTACAACCTTCTTCCACAATGTTCTCACACAAACTGCCAATGACAGACTATAGTGACACTAGTCACAGCTACAATAAAAAATATATCACCAACCTAATGGCCAGAAAAGCATTCATTAACTCAGCTAACACTGGAGACACACCATGCACAACAAAACACACTATTGGGTGTGCCATTATTACTAGTGAATACACATACTGGGAACACACCCTCTCCCTGTTATCTTCACTAAAGCCATGCTATTTTTTAAATTTAGAATGACAGAAGAATTCGCTTATGCCCCCACAACCACACCCATTTTTTTCCCCCACCAACATACGGCATAAACTTCCGGCATAAACTTCCGACACAAAAAACCCAGTAGCCTATAGGTACACAAAATATTGAAAAACTGAAATAATTACTGTTGGTGGTTTTTTTTTTTTGTTTAAAAAAAAAAATTAAATCAGCTATCCTTTTAGCACTCAAGCCATATTATTATCTTTTCTATGCATGGAGTGGTGATGCGTGCCCAACAGCATGTCTCTGTGTCAACTTTGAGACAGTTTCCATTTCCAGCCTGTAATGATTTATTGGCATTCTCCTCACTGTCTTCAAATGTTACATTACAAAATTGTGTAGTCAACTGAAAGACTCACAAAATAAAAAGTGGGTTCAAAATATGATGACATCTTATCAGAAGGCAACACGAACATGATCCTAATAAGTAGATTGCAGTCATTTGAAGTTGTTGACATGAACTGTTTATATAAGAGCATGGCAGTTAAGTTCATTTTAAAATTATGGAAATTATATTTATATACTTGTCCCCAAATTAGAAAACCATTTAAATGAAAAGATTTTGAGTTGTTTAGGAAAGCTTACTAACCTGTTACCACACAGTTACAAGCTTACAGCTTACTACCTGTTACCACACAGCTGACCAGACACAAGCGTATGGCTTACTACCTGTTTACACACTCTTGACCAGACACAAGCTTATGGCTTACTGCCTGTTACCACACAGCTGACCAGACACAAGCGTATGGCTTACTACCTGTTTACACACTCTTGACCAGCCACCAACTTACGGCTTACCACACATGTGCTAGATATTTATTCATGCAAACTGGTTATCAAAAATAAAAGATTTTCAAAAGCAAAATGGGGAAGAAATATTTAAATACAGCATTTCCTTAACTGACTATTTCAGCAATTCGCCAGATCGGCCAAGCTACACGAGGATCAGACGAAAAAGTAATAATAAAATCATCAAAGTTTGACAGCTCTTGCCTAATGCAGGCATTGGTTACCTCTCTACAGTTTCAGTACTTCTAAACATTGTTTATTTAATAAATTGTTGTTATTATTCTTCTAATCCTGTGTTAGACTTTGTTTATCTCATCTTAAGCTTAATGAAATAAAATGGCATTTATCTTTACTGTACATCGCTCTTGATGACATGAGGTCAGATTTTTAATTATTTTTTTTTAATATCAAAACAAGGGAACATGTGTTTTATTACATTTACATAGAACATATTATTATTATTATAAGTGGTTTTATATAGCATGGTACCCCAGTCTAGCTCACCACGCTGCCCATACAATTTAACAAACATGATCAAAAAAACTTATAAAAATTGACATACATTAAATAAACAAAACAAATGGATATTTATAAAATATTTACATGTCAAGCCATTAAAGTATTTAAAGACACCCAGCACCATCGTTTTTCGGTCAGAGTTGGGAATCAGTCAGGATAGTAGAGTTTAAAGAGATGTGTTTTGAGTGCAGTTTTGAAGGCTGTGATGGTCGGTATATTGCGGATGTGTAATGGAAGAGAATTCCATTGTTTGGGGGTCACAGAAAGCGAACGATCGTTCACCGTATGTTAGATTTTTTTAGTTTATACCGACAGAAAAAAATATTTTAAAAAAAGCGAATCCATACTGATTTAAATCATAATATAAACCCACGTTAATTTCAAAGCGACACCTCTCTCTTTAATGTCCATATTGTCTTAACAAATCAATGTTCTTATGACAGATAAGAGTATAACTTTTTCTCATGGCTCTATTGATATTTGGGCACTGGTGCCAAGCTGTATCATCCACTTGATGTTCCTTTGGGTTGTCCAACTGCGTGGAGAGACGCGATTTGCTGTTGGGAACCAGCTTATAATCCTTGAAGAATAATCACAGGCTTTGTGGATTTCGTCCTCTGAAGCCCACACCATCGTCACATTGTGACGGACGGATGCCAGCAATTGATATTTGTGTAGGCGTAGGGCTCAAGCCTTGACTTTGTGGCAACATGAAAAAATATACTCTGCATATCCCCCATGGCATCCATTCTAAGCACTGGTGACAGAAATTGCCTACAAATTCTTGCTACGTTGAATCCTTAACACCTTGCCATATTTCTGTGTCCCTAAATAATGTTTCACAAAATTGTCGCCCTTTTCCTGCCCTATTACTATTATTTTCCTACCTCCCAGTCACTATGTCGTGGGCTCCTATCACTTAATTAACGCTCCAATCTAATTCAAACATTGGGATAATTGGGTATAATTATTGCAATCCTTTCTACCATGCAAACTTCGCATACATCTGGTGGGACGTGGCAAGAGCTGTGGTGTGAGAAAGATTACGATAAATGCCAGTTAATAATTGTGACAGATTTCCATACATTACGTCCACGTTACATCAAAAGGACCTTCATTAGCCTACTTTTTTGTTTTTTTTATCAGAGTAATAAAAATTCTGTCAGTATTTCATGGATATGAAAATTTCTCATTCCAGGCTTAGGGCCATTCTACTCAATACGTACGAAAAAAACCCTCAAATTTTATAACGCGTACTTTTTGGCCCCAACCACCCCTTGCAGCTTTCAGAAAGACAAGGGGCGCCAAAAATGGTACTTCTACTGGTCCGCCCCCATTTGCCGTTTTTTTTTATCGGGGTGGCCCTGCAAGGGGTTGCTTTGGCTTCCTCACAAGGGCGCCGCGAAATATTACACACCATTCACAATTCTTTTTCCACTTTTAGTCCAATGTGACATCTAGCGGTCTTTGTGCAAACACCTGAGTAACTTAAACTACTGTTTGCAGTTACAAGATGGCGCTTAGTGACCTTCATACGTGTTTTAATTGTTTTGACTCAATCCTTTATTATTCTTTAAACCTATTCGCTATTTCGTTTTGTACTTGTTGGAATTTGACAAAGGGCGCCTGGTGAAAACCTGATTTTGGCAAGGGCGCCGGTAATTGAAAAATTGTCAAAACCACTGGCGCAGCTCAGGGGGGGGGGGTACGTCTCAATCCCGTTGAACATACCGTGGGCTACATATCATTGTAATGCTGCTACCGTTGTGTAGGCCTACTATTTGTGGGATATCTAACGAATTCATAGATGATAACAAAAATCAACATTGTGACCATAATTCCTACAGAACATTGCGTCATATGTTTCCAACATTCGAGATATAAATTGGCCTTTGAAAAAAAAAAAATCTTTCAGAGATTCATGATGGTTATCGTAGAATGTTTTAATAAATGTAGTTATTTTCTACCTACTACACCCCACCCCAAAAAACACGCCGTGCGCACGCGTACGCAGAATCGACCCCCCCCCCACCACAGTGCGTACGTACTAAAATATAGTCTATATGGATGGGTCCCTTAACACTCCAATTTTACTGGCGTACAAGTCAAAACCACGCTTCATTTTAGTAAAAGCTTTTCATCATCAAGTCGTATAAATCAGTAAATCCCCCAAATGGAGGCCTTAACTGTTATCGCAGGAGGTCTCTCCTCAAACAGAATGTAGATAACAATAACAAAATTGTCTCTGACTGCATCATGAAAAGACTAATTGCCGATGGAAAGTCTTTTTCAAATTCTTCTCTATTTTTTACGAGGCCATGGTCTATCGGTGTTTGCTGTTGGTCAGTCGCACGCGGAGACGATCAAGGCGATTTTTCGACTTGGGCAGGACGCCCTGACTTGAGCTGTCGTTTGCTTAAGTGAGGGAGAGTTGCCCAATTTTTTTTTTTCCTTTTTTTTTTTTTTTTTTTTTTTTCTTTTTTTTTTTTTTTTTTTGCTCGTATATCATCATTCCAGAAATCAAGAAAATATCAGCCCACCATTCATAAAAATAGCTGCATGCCATTCATAAATGTATTCCGCCATTCATAAAAACAGCAACACACACCATTCATAATCTAGCTGCATACCTTTTATAAAAATTGCTGCTTGGCATTCATTTTTTTTCTCCTTTTTTTTTTTTTTTTTTTTTTTTTTTTTTTTTTTTTTTGCACGAAAATCATCATTCCAGAAATCAAGAAAATATCAGCCCACCATTCATAAAAATAGCTGCATGCCATTCATAAAAGTATTCCGCCATTCATAAAAACAGCAACACACACCATTCATAAACTAGCTGCATACCATTTATAAAAATAGCTGCGTGGCATTCATAAAAATATCGTTCCGCCAGTGATAAAAAATAGCTCCACACTATACAAGCACATAGAAAAGTAACGACGCACAAAGAATTCTATTTATCATGTTTCACGCCAGAAAAACAATCTTCCAAGGTTCCATGAGACTTCAGTGTAAATTAAACTCAATAGGAAAGTGGTCACTGATTTCGTATGCTTCCTCCAGGTCCAGACCCAGGTCTGACGTGAAGTCATAGACCTGCGCGTCGCTGACCGTGACGTCTTTCCCCAAGACGACGGCGCGGTCGTAGGCGCAGTGGGTCCCCTCGGCGACAGTCGTATCAGTGGTGTCGGGGATGAGGCTGACGAAATCGCCCCTGAAAATCTCCATTTCTTTCTTCATGGCGTTGTTGAGATAACCACAGTCGGCGTTAAAGTCACCCATGGCAATGATCCCCTTGGCTCGCCTGAAACGTTGATAGATGACTCTCATCGCCTGGGGCAAGGTCTTCAGCTCTTCGACCGTGTCCTGTGGACGGGTGTGAAGCGCAAGGAGCACGATCCTGTTCTTGGCAGACCGCGCAATGGAGTAGTACTCTATCTCAATCGCGAACGGCTCCCGCTCGAAAATGTCTCGGGCGTCGTCGTTGTACTGGTAACTTCCAGTGATCTTGACCAAATTAGTCCGGTAGAAGAAGGCGTACTGCTCCTTGTAGCTGGTTCTGCCGATGGGCTCGCTCTGGAGCAGCCCCCAAGAGTCCGTGGCGTTGAGGCGTCTCCACAGCTCGTCGACGGCGTATCCGGTCGTGTCGCGTACTTCCTGTATGAGGATGACGTCATAGCGAGACACGATCTTCACGATGTTTCCGGCCATCCCCCTGTTCGACATCTTGGCCCGGCCGAAGCCCTTGATGTTGAAGGCCGCGACGGAAAGTGGCGTTGACCGTCGTCTTTGTCCACACGTTCGTTGCAATGTGAGAACGGTCACCGTCAGAATCACCAAATACGACGTGGATGACATCATCGGAGTATATTTAAAGCCCCTGGTGACGAAAGTAATCTCTAACACAAACAACACTGTTGCGTTTTAAAATCCACGCTCTTTGTTTGATTCGTACTAGCGAAATGAACACAATGAATCGCTCACCTCACAGTAGTTTCTAATCACTTTCTCAAATGAATGACAGATTATAAGCATGCTGTAGTGTCCCACATTTCACGCGACAGACAGGGCGAGCTGTGGTATTAATATAGCAAGTGATAAGTACCGCATCGCCACTTCCTGAAATTCATCCACTAACTGTGAGTGTGCTCAAAGCAGCGCTTCTAAAATTGTGAGGGTCCTACGTGCTGGTGCCGGTTCTTGAACCGATTTGTTGAGGTCCCCCAAACGATAAATTTAAACTTCTACCTAGAATGAATAATTAAACCATTTTAATTTAAAAATAATAATAATCATAATAATTTTTTTTAAACTAATTTTTTGTGGCAATGCATCTAGAATAGTTAACAAAGAATATTCATGGAATGGTTAACAAAGAATAGTCATGAAATGGTTAACAAAGAATATTTATGAAATGATTAACAAAGAATAACTATGAAATGGTTAACAAAGAATAACTATGAAATGGTTAACAAAGAATAGACAAGAAATGGTTAGCAAAGAATAGTCATGAAATGATTAACAAAGAATAGACAATAAATGGTTAACAAAGAATAGTCATGAAATGGTTAAAAAATAATAGTCATGAAATGGTTAACAAAGAATATTTATGAAATGATTAAACAAAGAATAACTATGAAATGGTTAACATAGAATAGACAAGAAATGGTTAACAAAGAATAGTCATGACATGGTTAACAGAGAATATTTATAAAATGATTAACAAAGAAAAGCTATGAAATGATTAAAAAAGAATAGCTATGAAATAATTAACAGATATTAGCTATGAAATGATTAACAAAGTATAGCTATGAAATGATTAACAAAGAATAGTTACGAAATATAAAGTAAGAACTCTTCGACAAGTACGAAAACGTCCCATTCAAGAACTTCCTAAAGTTTCTTTTCTTTATGTAGGGCCTACTACTAAAGCTCTTGCCGTGGAGCTCTTTATTTTGTTCAATTTGAACGTCTCCTGGTCTTGACCGTATAGGCCTAAATATCGTTTGTGAAGACCAGATATGTCTAGTTTAAGGTCGTTCGCAAATTACGCTTGGCTCAGAGGGAAGTGGGGTCGACAATTGGTGGCACTTTGTGACCGCGAGAGAGGTGGGGGGGGGGTTAAACAAAATGTGACGTCACGTTTTAAATTATTATTTTTTTAAATTTTGTTTATAAATTATATAAATCTAAACATATTTGGTTTTGAAAAATCTCTATTCAGTTAATTATAAGAACATTAATTTGAGTTCGAAATTGCCTCAGGTATTATAGGTACCATGAAACTCAGTCGTTCATACCTTCGACGCATATCGAGCAATGACGCAAAAAACTGTTGTGGCCATTTTACATTCGGCTTGGTGGATGACTTCGTTGTTTCATGTCACAGTTTTGAAATAATATTACAACTTAATCCATTATGGGAAAATGTTAAAGAATAAAATAAAATCTTTGTTTAGTTAAGAAAATGTTATTTATTTTTTTTAGGTGTGACGTGACATTGGGGGGGGGGGTAAAGTATTTATGACACTATGTGACAGGGGGGAGGGGGGGTCTAAAAAGGTAATTTTTTTTGCGTGACGTAATTCACGAACGACCCCTTTCTGATTTGAAAAGAACCTCTCATACCTTCGCATAAGCTATATAGACGTCGCACAATGCATACACTATGTGACAGGGGGGAGGGGGGGTCTAAAAAGGTAATTTTTTTTGCGTGACGTAATTCACGAACGACCCCTTTCTGATTTGAAAAGAACCTCTCATACCTTCGCATAAGCTATGTAGACGTCGCACAATGCAGTGGATCTTTTGTCAGACAATCGCTACGGAACTTGTCAAACTTTACCAGGTATATTGAGAAACGCTGTTCAGGCAATAATAGAGTTAAAGTTTCCTAACAATCATACGTTATTTTAAAAAAAGCCCTCCCGCAGTGGTTCTCGGCAAAGGCAAAGATGGACTGCTGTTCCTTTTTTTTTTTTTAATAAATAAAAACGTGTGTTAAGCAAGAGCTTAGTTTAAGATTAAATACAGACACAACTAACTATAAGTGCCATATTGGCGGACGAACTTGGACATTAAATAATAATCAATAAGCAGGTGAAGTTATATAAAATACTTTGATATACGGTACGCCCGTGTTGGGGTCCGCTTAGGTTGAAGTAGCATACATTTGAGAATAGGCGTTGTCATGCAGCCAGGATGCGAACTCTTGGTTTAAGTTGAAGTGGGTTCAACTAAGCGTTGCGACGGTTAAAGAGAGAAAAATGATAGTCTTGCAATCAGCGGAGACATCGCGTGACTTTTTGAGACCCCCCTGACACTTTTTCGATTTCGTACAAACTGCCTTTAAGGTTAACAGTTTTATTATTATTATTTTTTTGGGCTAAATAATTACATAACAAATTTAGGCCCCTTATATATATATACATGAGACCGCCAGAATTTTTCGATTTTGTACCAACTACAGACCTGTTTAAACCTGGGTTACAGAATGAGTAGTTTCAAGCAGCAAAGAGTAGTTTGGTCAATAGACAGGGTAGGAAGACAGAGACTGGGTTGGGGGGGGGGCGGAGAGCTGGTTTCGGGAAAACAAGTCAACTGCTAATATAAGTTAACATAAATAAATATACAAGACATGGTCCTACGATTTGTTTCTTAAGGATGACAGGGTATCAGGCAAGCACAAAAGACAATGAGTGCACAGACTTGCTGGACTTCTAGGCATATCAGAGCTCAAATGTATGACTAATGAAAATCTGAAGTTCTGGGGTTTTTTGCTGTTAATATGACCAAAAAAATAAATAAATTAATAAGTAAAAATTAAAAACGACATTGAAACACACAGAATTAAGGGTAAACGGGTTTGCAACTGCATTTAAAGTTGACAGTTTAATCATTTCTTTTGTTAATAAATTATTACATCCCAACTTTGGGCCCCTTAAATACATGAGGCCCCCCGCCCTCCAGTTGCAGGTTTTTCAGGGCCATCTGCATAGACAAGTGGCGCGTTGAGTCTCTTCCTCCGTTGTAATTATGAATATTAATCTCATCCCGTTAAAACAAAAAAAACTATTTGATGGTGTGAGTAAAAATGTTGGTGATGATAATGGGCCATGTAGAAAACAACGGCCGAATAGTGAGAAGTTCAACTCTAGGATATGGCACAATTCGATAAGAAGTTGAATCACGTGGAACACCCCCCCCCCCCCAAACCAAAAATAAAAAATATGGAACGTAGATTTATAATACAATTTTGGAGGTAGAGACTACGAAATTATAGAAAATAAGGTCTGACTCCAATTCTCAACACAACGCCGGCCTTAGGTAAACTTTCGCCCTGTGCAAAGCCCCTGTTCGGCGCCCCTTCCCTGTCTCTGTATGGCTCCGCTATTTTTCCGATTACGACTTAGGCAATAGAGCAGGTGTTACTGAAATATATACGTAGCTAACCATACGCATTTTAACATGCACATTAATTTAAACTGTTTAGTTTTTCCACCGTATTTCACACTTCACTTTAATAAATTAAAGGAATTCAAATATTTACTGGGCGCCCCAATGGCCACGGCGCCCTGTGCGAGGGCACGGGTTGCACACCCTAAAGGCCGGCGTTGCTCAACAAAAGGAAACAAAAAAACATGTTTGCATAATCGATCACATGTCCTAAGTCACTTAATCGATCACATGTCCTAAGTCACTTAATCGATCACATGTCCTAAGTCACTTAATCGATCACATGTCCTAAGTCACTTAATCGATCACATGTCCTAAGTCACTTAATCGATCACATGTCCTAAGTCACTTAATCGATCACATGTCCTAAGTCACTTAATCGATCACATGTCCTAAGTCACTTAATCGATCACATGTCCTAAGTCACTTAATCGATCACATGTCCTAAGTCACTTAATCGATCACATGTCCTAAGTCACTTAATCGATCACATGTCCTAAGTCACTTAATCGATCACATGTCCTAAGTCACTTAATCGATCACATGTCCTAAGTCACTTAATCGATCACATGTCCTAAGTCACTTAATCGATCACATGTCCTAAGTCACTTAATCGATCACATGTCCTAAGTCACTTAATCGATCACATGTCCTAAGTCACTTAATCGATCACATGTCCTAAGTCACTTAATCGATCACATGTCCTAAGTCACTTAATCGATCACATGTCCTAAGTCACTTAATCGATCACATGTCCTAAGTCACTTAATCGATCACATGTCCTAAGTCACTTAATCGATCACATGTCCTAAGTCACTTAATCGATCACATGTCCTAAGTCACTTAATCGATCACATGTCCTAAGTCACTTAATCGATCACATGTCCTAAGTCACTTAATCGATCACATGTCCTAAGTCACTTAATCGATCACATGTCCTAAGTCACTTAATCGATCACANTTTTTGTCTAAAATTTTTTTATCCAATCAATCCGGGGGGGGGGGGGGCAAGTGCCCCAGCTTGCCACTACCTGCGGGCGCCCATGGAGGTGCGTGTTGTACGCCGCAATAAATACGGTACGGTACTCATCATAAAATGCTCATCTCAATACAGAACGCACTGTAACATCCAACACACTCTTCAAGAACAACGAAATATCTAAGAAATGCGTGTACAGAAAAAAAAGAAACTTTACCCTCAACAACTGATGGTATGATGACAACTGATGGTATGATGTCAACTGATGGTATGATGTCAACTGATGGTATGATGTCAACTGATGGTATGATGTCGAATAGAAAAACCAGCACTTAGAATATTGCAGCAGTACTATGTTGATGTGGTTTTTTCTTTCCCGCTCCATGTGGTATACACATATGACGTGTCTTTTAGAAACGAATTCCTAGGAACCCAACGTTCTATTTATAGTACCATTCGTCAGTACTGGGTTTTTGTCGCGCGCTTCGCAAAGCGCGTGTGACGTCACTAGCCACCAATTTTTTTTTTCTTTTCGTGGTGGGGAATATGATCTAAAAATAGATGTGGAAATACGCCAATGTTGTAGCCAGTAGCCAGTAGGCAATGAATAGTTTAGTCCCA